TATGTATTATATTGTGTTGAGCGCCAGTGAAATGTTAGAAATTTTGACTATTAATTTAGAAAATATAATTTTATTACTTACCAGGCTAGCTTTCTTATATGATATCACTCAATTTAATATAAATTGTAATTTAAAGATTATTTGTTTTTTTTTTTATAAAGTATTCGGGATTTAAAATGAAATTCTATTTTATTTTTGATGATTTGACTGACAACTAGATTACCTCTGTTAATTTTGCATAAATAATTTATATGAATTTTAGTAGAACATGAGTTCTCATCTCAGTAGTCGATTCATATATCAAATTTTTACTGGTAACTGAATTTGCAAAAGAATTAAATAATATCGTTGTGATCTGGGTTCAAACTTTATATTGATATAAAAATGACAAACAAATTAATAAAATTTTCTAGTCCCTATTTAACCTGCTCTAACTTATATCTATTCTACAAACATGTACTTAGTATCTTCTACTATTACTTATTATCACTCACTTATTATCTATCTACTATCCCTTCTTTCTTTCACTGTCCATGACTTCTTAAGTAGACACTTTCCCTCTGCAACGTCTCTTCGGTCCTCTTCCTTCTAGTCGTCCACTCACTCTCTCCTTGTGGTTCTTGGTATCTTGTCTCGCTATGCTAGATGGGATTTCTAGACTCGCCTGGTATCTCTCACCCCTTGTCTCCTTTATTCTTAGCTAATATAATTCATATAATTTTACTAATATGACCTTTTTTATAGTTACGCTTTCGGCTTTAGTTATCTGAATCTCCTTTCTCTATCTTCTAATACTAATTCTTTTCTCAAGAAAGTTTGCCTTCGGGTTCTCAATAACAGCTTTTCACTTTTCCTTTCGTCTTTTATACTTTAATTTGCTTTTACTTATATAATCTTCTTGTATTCTCTTTGACAATTCCTCTCTTCTTTTTCTGTCTTATTTATTATTATTAATCCTTTTTTTTCCGTCTCCTTGAGTACCACTGCACTGCACACTTAATTTAAAACACAAAATTTCTTTTTCATTTAACCAATCAGATCACTTTAAATTTTACGTTTTCAATTTAACTTTTGCAATATTATTTAATTCCTATTTTGCTATATAGTACCCTTATTTTATAACCACTTTTATAAATTTAGATTAATATTTCCTTAAAATTCATGTTTTACTTTTAAATTGTCATTCTGTATCTAATTGTCATCAAATTTCAAATCTGTAAATTACACTGACATTCTTTGACATTAATCTCTTTTCATCCCAATACTGAAATTTATACTTTTGAACTATTGATTCTTCTCAATATATACTGAAAAAAAAAAAGAATTTTTTGAGGCCCCATTTAGGAGGGCGTAGCTCCCTTAGGAAGCATTTCTCGACCCATAGAATCAAGTGGTAAATTATTGAACACTAATTATGATACACCCTATATACAAAACTACACGCCTAGTGATACATAGCTTTCTAAATATAGAGCGGATAACTTAGTTTTTTCAATTTGGAAACATTTTTCTTAGAAACAAATTTGGTACACATATTTTTTTATATAAGGGCAATGTAAATATAGAATTTGGTGATAATACATGTACAGGAGGTGCTTGTGCGCCAATGGCTATCCTGTAACTTTTTTGTGTGTGCGCGAATGACGCCAGATTTTTAAAGATAAACAAAATTTTAGAAGACTTTTAGCCTCTTAAAAAATTTTTATATCGTTGATGGATTTCTAGTAAAATTGGCATTTTTTATACATTAAATGTAGGCAACAACTCCGATTACCAAAAAGTAATTTATAACTGCAGCCTCAAAGCATGGAATAATAATGAAACAGCTTCACATTGTAACTGTCATGTAAGTGTTAATAGTGAGAATGTTTTTGTTACATAAATATTGCATCCATATTTAAGAGATGTTCAAATTTATCTTTCAAGCCGTTTCGGTATAGCATTTTTTAAAAACTTGTTAAAAAGAATGGTCTGGTCTTTGATATAGTTCCTTTAATTTTTTCGTAATTTTATACATATTTGTAAAAAAATTGTTACCTGGATACGTGCCTCAGGTAATCCAATTTTCTCCGCTAGTCGCTCCCTGGCAAAGACATCAGGATAATGAGTTCGCTCAAATTCTGGAAAAAGTAATAGTAATAAATCGATAATTTTAATTTACTACTCATTTGTAATTTTAAAAATAATACTCGTATTTCTTAATTCATTTTCGACAAACTAAAAACCTAATGCCCAATTTTCATCCATCTACTTCAAGTGTGTATTTCGAAAACCAGCAGCTTAAAACTTTGGTTCATTAAGGTTCAGAATGTTATTTATGTCTTCTATTAAAAGTATATTTAAATAGCTTTCTGAAGTTATAACTTGGAATTATAAAGCACTTTATACTATTTATAACAGTATAAACAATTCAGTTGAAAACCATTTCACACTGAAATTGTGACGGAAACAAATATAATATATACAAAAATTAATAACATATACCAAAAAAATTATAACCTGAAATCAAAATTCTGAAATCGAATCAGTATTAAAGCTGTTTTACATTGACAATTTATTTTTGAATAAATTGACGAAGTTCTTCATGAATTAATTCACGAATTTATTGATAAACAGTGTGGTTTTACACTGCTACAGACTGTCAAGTTATTTGACAGTTGAATCAGTTCTACCAACGAATCAAAGAAGCAAATAAATTTCAAAAATGTCACCTTTCCACTCATAATTGTAGTGATACAACAGCGGTACCGTTTTGACACATATTATATAAATATTAGTGTTTGTAAGTAACAAATCAGTAAAAACAATGCAAAACTAGTACGACGCCACACAATTATTTACATATTCCAATAACATAACCTCATTACTGATCTGAGGCTGAAAATCTGTTGGATTGGTACTTCCGAACTTCACGAAAATTAGAACATGCTCTAATTCGTCAAGAACTTGATGAATAAATTCATGAAGTTATTTGACAGCAGATTTGGTGCTTTACACTTGTCCAATTTCTTGACGAAGCGACTTCATGAATTAATTGATCAATAAATTGTCAACGTAAAACAGCTATTACAAATATGTTAGCTTTGTAGTCCTTTATGGAATATAAAAATTTAGAAATAAAGTCAACTTCATAGATATCTGGTATGGAACTGAGTCCTTAAGTGCTGATTTACTATGAAACATTTTATCACAGCTTCTAAAAACATGGTGCATTTTGCACGTATTTTTCTTGAAAACAAATATATATGAAAACAAATGGAATTGAAGAAGTGTTTATTCGAATTTTTTTCGGAATTATTATCTAGGGTTATCATTAAATTTTGAGCCATCCTATAAAAATGTTTGTAAATTGACATCAGTTTAGTTACGGTCATTTCGAAGAAAAAGACTGAGAATTTCAGATAAGTGAGTTTGAATTATTGGTTTCTCGAAATAATTGACAAATCGTATACAGATAACAATAATGTGCCATTCTGACAGTTTTTGTTTTATTACTATAACTCATAGAACTCTTGATACCACCTACCTTTTTCTAGGCTATCGATCTGTTCGTTTGTGAAGGAAGTCCTGTTTCTCTGTAATTTTCTTTTCAGTCTCAACCTCAGCTGCGAATCTTCGTCTCCGGAAGAATTGTGCTCAGAATTTCCATCCGAAGTGTTCTCGTGCATCACGTCGGCTGAAATAAGATAAAATTAAATCAGCACGTACCTAAACAAGAATCATTATATACAACAATTTTCCACGCTACTTCTATTCAGTCGAAGTGAAAAACAAAAAAAAATAGGTATACTGAATGGTACATAATTTTGAAATTATCCAGTAGATGTCATTCTTCCTTACTACGACATCACGCTTCAAAATGGACGTTATACACAAAATTATCGTACAATGCCTAGTGCTATACAAATGCATGTATTAAAACTGTTTGTGAGGAAATATTTATCTAAATGTATCTATTTGTTGTTTTCCACAAACACAGACAAATTCGGATTACAGTAATTCTAAATTTTTATATGTGTTTCATAAATCGATCGTGGTTTTTGTATAAAAGTTTCGAAATCAGTGAGTGTCATTTTCGGAATCCAGCAGAAACATTTATCCACAACTCTTAAAATATCTTTAGGATATTGCACTCTATCCCAAGAAATGTCATCCTTCAACGTCTTTTGCTTCTTCTTGAATTCAGAAATATGTAGCGTGCAAACATTCCGCTAGCCGCTTCACTTTGACCATATATTCTTTGAAATATTGAAACCCAATAAATATTTTCTGATGTAGACATCTATCCTTAAATTTTTGTTCAGGGAGAAGCAAAAAATATTTCATTAACATTTCGTTTTGTTTATACGGGCAATGTGTTTGTTTTTGCATTGGACATGTTTAAAAATATTTATATCTGAAAATTGTTTGTAGATCTGGACTAGACTTATGAGATTATGAATGTTTTTTCATCTGTTTTTCAAAGGTCCTGTATATTTATCCGTGTTAGTCGTTATCCCTGCTTGCATTTAATTTAAACAAAGCGATTTTGTGTACAAAATGTCTTTTGAGTCATAATTTTATTCCGATTATTAAAAAAATATAATTTTTTAAAGGTGTATTATATTCATTATAAAATATATATAATGAATATAGGTATTCCTGAGTTGCAAAACTGGTCCTGTTGTTTTCAGAAATGAAGCTGTTAATGCGCAGCACCATTTGGATCTGGTTTTGCTATCAATAAAAGCTCTTTCTTTCCCAGAAGACGGAAATCCACATTTTAATCAAGGAATAATCCTTTTAATGATAATGGTATAAATAAATCGTTATCCATAATTATCCTGTTTACATTAACCCCTTAGACCATGTATGGGATGTTCTTGAAAGACGCTCTTGTATGCATCGTCGCCACTACAAAATATTGATTTGTTATAACACGCTCATAGAGGAAAGTAACACCTACCAAAATTTTAATTGATAATTGTATGAATTGACGATGACAGGTGGTAATTGCTTATATAAAGGAGTATAAAGGTCACTACCGAGTCTCTTATTTGATACAGTTTTTTTTTAATTAATTCTTATGTAAAAATTGATTTAATACAACGTAGGTTATTTTTTAAATATACCTACATCTTTACTAATAATAGAGATAAAATAATTTAAATAACAATTTCTTTACATAGTATCCTTTGTGTGATTGCGCACAGGCATAGTGATTACCAATCATAAAAAATATAGGGAATTTTGTAAAGTTTTTTCATCTGTTTTTCAAACGCCCTGTATATTTATCCGTGTTAATCGTTAGCCCTGCTTGCATTTAATTTAAACAAAGCGATTTTGTGTACAAAATGTCTTGAGTCATCATTTTATTCCGGTTATTAAAAAAAGATAGTTTTTTAAAGGTGTATTATATTCATTATAAAATACATATAATGAATATAGGTATTCCTGGGTGGCAAAACTGATCCTGTTGTTTTCAGAAATGAAGCTGTTAATGCGCAGCACCATTTGGATCTGGTTTTGCTATCAATAAAAGCTGTTTTTCTCCCAGAAGACGGAAATCCACATTTTAATCAAGAAATAATCCTTTTAATGATAATGGTATAAATAAAAATCGTTATCCATGATTATCCTGTTCACCTTAACCCCTTAGACCATGCATGGGATATTCTTAAAAGACGCACTTGTATGCATCATCGCCACTACAAAATATTGATTTGTTATAACACGCTATCATAGAGGAAAGCAACAGCTACCAAAATTTTAATTGATAATTGTATGAATTGACGATGACAGGTGGTAATTGCTTATATAAAAGAGTATAAAGGTCACTACCGAGTCTGTTATTTGATACAGTTTTTTTTTATTTTTTCTTATGTAAAAATTGATTTAATAAAACGTAGGTAATTTTTTAAATACACCTACATCTTTGCTAATACTCGTAATGGAGATAAAATAATTCAAATAACAATTTCTTTACATAATATCCATTGTGTGATGATTGCGCGCAGGCATAGTGATTACCAAGCATAAAAATTATAGGGAGTTTTGAAAATAAATGTAAAAGCGCTCTCTTTTAGTACGTCAAATAAAATTTTATCTATTTCTGAAATTTATACATAACAAGTTATTTTGAAGCCTGCTAAATACTATGGCAACGGGCGTAGTTAGATAATTTGCAAAGCACACCCCTCTCAACTTACATCAAATTTTGGGTGTTTCACTAGAACTAGACAGTAGTATATAATAGCTATCGCCAGTTACAAATTCTCCCTCTAAACAGTTGATACAGAACGTTACAGAAATTGTCTATTTTCTCTCAAAAAGGCTGGCATTTTACTGAATTCTTAACTTTAGTAAACGCTTTCATAACTCTTTCTTAATGAATATTCCTGAGTTATTGTTTCCAATTTGTAGGTAGTTATACAGGATGTAGCAAAAATTGCCATCAAACTCAAGAGTATTTCACAGAATTTTAAAGATTTTCAAATTGGCTTAAGGCATTAAATCAAAACAAAGTCAGCTTAGAAGTATGTATCAAAAATTTGACATTATTGCACTGCCAAAGAATGTAAGGTGTTGTATTTATGGAATTTGCATTCCAGGAGTATGTTGACATGCATTTAATTTTTGGAGAAGTCAGAAATAATGCGCGAGCAACTGTTTGACTGTATGCAGCGCGATGTCCCAATAGGAGAATACCACACTATAGCACGAATATTGCTGTTGACCAACGTGTATGGTAAAGTCCGTTTAAACCGCGGAAAAACTTTGGGCAACATTGTACTGTATTGTAAGAAGAAGAAATTCCTAATATGGTTGAAGAAAATTCTATCAGCACGAGACGCATGTCCACCTTTTTAGGTATTTCACATATTCGAGGGTGTCGAACTTTACGAAGGCAGTCACTGAATCCCCTCTACCTTCAAAAAGAGAAAGAGTTGTTTCCAGAAGATTGTCCTTGCGGAGTGATCTTTTGTCAGTGACACCAGAAAGACAAACTATTGTATCAACTGACTAGTTAATATTTTTACGTGAAGTGAAATACTTAAGCACCATAAATTTGGGCAGATCAAAACCCAGAAGCAGCTTGGACTATAAGACATCACCACCAGTTTTGGATAAACGTATGGTTGGAAATAACCATCTCATTGGGCTCATCCAGCTACCGTAGAGACCTAACACGGTGCTTTGCATTTGCGGTTTCTAATTGAAGGGCTACTACTTTTGCTAGAAAGTGTACAACGCTGAATTTTGCAAAGTGATTCTGTTGAATGAGCGCTCGGTCTCCTGATCTTTTTTGTTTGGATCATCTAAAAATTATTGTTTACATGGAGGAAGTTAATGTTAATTTTCACGCATTTTGCTAAGTAAATTGTTATTTTTCTGCATTTACAGACATATGTTTATAGAAACTTTTTTTTCTTTGTTTTGTGCTGTAGGATATTCCCTGCAAGTTTGATGGTGATTTATTATTACACCCTGTATAAATCATACATAATGGATGCAAATTTTGTAAATAATACAAATGAAGACATTCTGTTTTATTCTATCAGGCATTGAAACTTGAGTTATCTTTTACAAAGCCATCTAATTAGCATATTGACACACAAGTAATTCCATAATATCTTCTTCATCTACTTTAAGTTTGTTTATCTGCTCCCACTATAGTGAATAGACTATTAATACGTTGTTTTTAAGGAGGTAAGTGGATTTTACCGTAGAAGTGGAAGTTGCTATGGACAACGGAAGGTAAATGAAGTAACTTACCTGCCTAGGGAAAAAAGCGATTTCGAGTTATAAATGCATATTTTATGAACAAATAAATAGAAATATTTGATGAACATTACATTTTATTAATTATTATGAATGAATATTTATAGTAATTGTACTGTTATTACATTTAGTAACACTTATAAAATTTGGATAATTCTTCTCCTCGCGTTTACTAATTGTCACCACATTTCTCTAAATGATTTGACCCCTTCATTTCAGTCACCGGAGGCTCAATATTATCTGACTGATCCATTAAAACAGCATGATGCGACGTACTACTAGAACCTGGAGTTGAAGTGTCATTGTAAAGAATCCTATTGGCTATTTAATTTTTGTTACTTAAACTGTTAGCAACATAACTTTCTGCAATTGTGGCTGATTTCCACCCATCATGTCTCTTGATTGCTAATACATAAACTCCTGTATTAGCCAGTAACGTTGCCTATGCTCTTTGGAATGAATGGCCTGTATATGTTTCAGGATGTTCTAGTTTCAAAAACTGTGCAATCTTATTAGGAATCATAGGAAGGGTATTCTTGCCCACTGGTTGGTTGTAACACGTACCTGCTTGATAGCGCATAAAAAAGCTTGAAATTTTAATTTCCAGTGTACTCTTGATATATTTCTTGACAATTTCTAGATGAGAAATTTTTAGAATCTGGAACTGTAACTACAATAATGTCTTCAAAATTTTTGAAATTGACGTTGTCCAAAGTAAGTGTAACTCATCAAAACGGCATGCTCCTGCAATGCCTAAGACCGTCACTACCTTCATTAGCAAATATGTGTTATCGGGTGCCTGAACGAGAAAATCGTTGACTTGTTTTCTTGTAAAAACCTTTGACTTTTTAGGTGTATAGCCGTCATTCTTACGTTTCAAAAAAGCTTGGGGTATCCACGTTCTCCTTTATGAAA